CCACTTTATTATTGCTTTCTGGCCCACGTGTGATAACGTCCCTAGAAACAATGGCAGTGGCACCTGATAGCTAACACTTGTTTGTACTGTTCAGAAGGAGTCACTGGCAAACCACTTCTGAAATGTCTTTTATCATGAAAACCCTAAGATGAGAAAATAAGTAAAAAAGTAATACAATAGATAGTGCTGGGAGATGAGACCCACAGGTCAGAAGGCACTCAGCAAGCTACTGGAGAAGAGCTGAGGACAAGTACAACTGGCACTGTGTCTAATGATACAGTTGGACTCAAACCGAAAGAACAATATAATAGGAGTGAATGGTTTTCAGTGCCCCGCTCTCTGAAATGCAGGAAATTTGGGGAATGAATAAAAGTTTCATAGAGGAACATAATTCTTATTTGGAGGGCAATGCCCTCATTCTCCCCCCACCATCTAATCTAGTTGGGAGTAAAGAAAGGGCCCTTATGTGCAACAAGTGAATTGCAAGTGTGACCCAGCCAGGACAAAACACTACGTGAAGCTTTCATTGTGGGTGGATGATAGCTCAGAAACAGGACAGCAGATTCATGTGCTGTGTAAGTGAGTGAGGCAGCAACAAGTCATGTGCATCCATATGTGAATCAGCTCAAATACATAAAGATGATCAATCTGTTTTTACACATATGTGGAATGATTCTTAATCTCTCTAGTGCTTAACTAGTGCAGAAGGAATCCATTTTGGCTATGTAAACATTTTGTTTTGTGTTCCACAGTTTCATAGCTGGTGTGATCAAGAGGGAAAGGATGGTGCCTTTTGAACGTCTGCTGTGGAGAGCTTGCCGGGGCAACATCTATTTGAGGTTCAGTGAAATGGATACTCCTCTGGAAGATCCTATCACTGTAGGTGTAGATATCTTTTTCATATTGCTATCTCTAGTACTGTGTTTGGCATATAGTACAATTAAATTGCTTGTGCAGCATTTGGTGGCTATGTAATTATTTTAAAAATTCTACTTACATTGCGTTTATTTTCTCCAGAAAGAAGAGATGAAAAAGAATGTCTTCATTATCTTCTACCAAGGGGAGCAGCTCAGACAGAAAATCAAGAAGATTTGTGATGGGTAAAAAGAAATAACTATTGCTTTATATTTAGGGATTGTTGTTTTTACTTTAGCTGATGAGGTGTATTGATCAACATGGTTTGTGGACATGTAAGACTCCAACATAAGGTCAAGAATCATGGCACCTGGTGCCATATTCTGTAACACACTTGCTTCTTTTTATTCTGCTATTTGTCAGTTGGACTTTGGACCTTGTTGTTGTGATCTGTGAATAGGTCTACACAAGCGCTGACCAAAGTATGACTCTCCAGATATTACTGAACAGCATAGTAAGCCATGCTGGAAGTTATAGTTCAACAATATTTGGAGAACTATATGTCACCTTGCTGATAGCTTATGCAGGGTCTACACATATGTAACCCACTGGGGTTGGATTCAATCTATGTTGGTTCCCATTGAAATCAACTAGCTTTTACCATTACTATAGATCCAGCCCAGCAAGTTCAGGGATAAGGCTTATGTTGTTTGCAAGCCAGGTCATCCATTCTGTAGAGGTTAAACCTTTTCACTGGCCCACATCTCTTCTTTCCTGTTAGAAGCTTTGCAGTTGTTTCCATTTCTGCACTTCAAGTTCCGTCTAATCCTTCCATCTATTAGTGATGTTCATGACTATCCTTATTTATCTTTTAGTGATGTTCATGACTATCCTTATTTATCTTTTAGTTATTGTATTTTGAGGAAACTCCAGCTCCCAGAATTCTGAGATATGTAGTCCCCAAAGTCACTTTTCTAAGTATCATTCATATTCAGTTGATGGCTTTAACATTGATTTATATTATCACATATCTAAAATGATTATCCTGAAGCATTATGGCACAAGTATTCAAAACAACGCCATCCATGGAACGAATTGACATGCTTGGGTGAAATTTTGAGGTTTTCAAAAGTACTTCTAGTCTCAAATCATTCCTATCTTCCAAATGAAGAAAATTATGAAGTTTGGTAAATTCTTTTTTTAAAAAATAAACCAAAACAAAATTCTCAACCCTTGTCACCTACCTCCCTTATCTCAACTCGGTAGCAAATGTGACCGGGAAAATTGCTTGCAATACCAAATATTAGGGCAGTTTATCCAGCCCAAAACATGAAGAAACACACCTATTATGCAACCCTTACCTTCTAGTTGTACACCAGCAACCATCAGTTTAGAGTAGGGGTTAAAATGTGGGTCATGCAGCTCCCCGGGGCCATTTTGGTGATCCGAGGGTCACCCAGGGGTAAAACAAAAGTATTTTATTATTATTATTATTTTGCTTCAGGATGCCCAAAAATGATGTCTAGGGGCTATAGGGGGCATTTAAACTCCCCCTGAACTCCTTGGGGTCAGATTTTAATTCAGAATGCCCTCTGATGCCCAGGAAATCCCAAAAACATACCCTCATACATCATGGAGTATGTTTTGGGGCAAAAAAAAAAATGATTTTTGTGTGTGTGAGTAGGTACAGCCTTTCAAAGTCTCTTGGAGGGCTAATGCAGGTTAGTCTTCACTTGCCCATCTCTGGTTTAGAGTAACAACTCTTACCTTGCTATTTCAAGGTGAGGTACCCCTCCCCAGCTTGGACCACAGACAACCCTGGTCATGGTGTGCTTTTGTCATGTTCTTGGAGACATTTGGCACATAATTTGTGCTACTGCAAACTGCTAATATTTCACAGCAGCTAGACATAAGAGACATGATTTGTACTTCACGGCAGAGTTACCCTCTATTACAGTGGTCTATAAGCTGTTGTTTTTTTGGTAAGTAGTAACATTGACTTGCCAATCTCACAAATGAAAATTCTCACAGACACATAGAGGACATGCAGACTGCCAGAAATAGTGCAAATTGAGTCCACTTTTAGGGTTAGGGTTAGGGTTAGGAAATTATGGGAACTGTAGTTTATTGTGGCACCAGAGCTCTCTGACAGAGAAGGCTCAATGTCTCAGAAAAAAACCAATTCCCATGATCCCCTA